TCTTACCTGATTCTTATCGGATTCGTACGAAATTCTTGCCATTTTCGTGCGGACTTCTTATGTAAGAATCCGATAAGACTCGGATAAGATTCTTACCAGAAATAGCAAAAAATGTTTGTCTAGGGTGCGCACCTATGGGCAATTGGTCCCAGATTTCAAACAGCTACAAGGTATATTCGATTTTTGCAGTTAAATTCTGAAGAAATGAACGAAATAATTTTATTCGGCTATCTTCTACATCAAATGAATTCGTCTAGCAAAGCCAGAGATTACTTTCGTTTATTAGCAAAACTGGCGTCGAATAATTATGAGGATGAGAATATTGCGGCAATATATCATCACCTTGCTCAAATCGAGTTGACGGCGTTTTGTTTAGATGATGCATTTAAATATTATAAACTTGCACGTACCATTAAAGAAAAACGTTTTCCATCAAGTAATCATTCAGCGATTATACAGTCTAATCTAACTCTTGCACATATTTTCACTAAACAAGATAATCATCGCAAAGCTCTTTTTGTCTTGAAAACATTATTAGATGAGTGTAAGACCGATCCGAAATACGAAGCATGGAAGAACACCCTTTGGTTTGACAGCGATGATGCACCAGCTCAACGTGACATACCAAAAGCATGGATTTCAGAATTTGACAAGTCAATGCTAATGTCTGTGCTCTACGGATATATTGGATACTGTTATGTAGCTCTTGGCAAATACGGCGTTAGTAAAAGACATTTCGACGAGCAACGACATATATATCTACACACTGGAATAATTCACCCAATTGACTGTGCAACTTCACTGACAGACGCTGCTGACATTCTTTTAGAAGCATCACACCACGATACTGCCTTAGACTATTATTATCGTGCATACGATATTCTAACAACTACACTACCTTATGCGCATCAATCAGCAATCGATATTTATACAAAATTATCTCAGGCCTTTTTAAGATGTCATAAATGTGTTTTAGCAAAAGACGTACTCTCAGCGAAACTGATTCGACAGAAATGCTTATACAATAAAAATGATTTAAATATAGTCTTAACTTTATTTTCCCTAGATACGCTAGATTTCAGTGGTGAGTTCTATAAAGAAGCGGTGGAAATGCTAGAAAAATGTGCATTAATGAACGATGACCCTACCATAGATTGTTTGTATGCTGCTGCTTCCTCTAAATACGGTTATACAAATAGTGAATTAAAATATCGTCTGAAAGCTTTATTCATTGAAGAAGAGATCTGCGCCAACCTATTGCGCATTGGTGAATTAAGATATAGTATTGGTGATTTGTACAATAAAAATGGGAAATATTTATGCGCTTTACATCATTTTAATTGCAGCCGCGACATCTACTTCATGGATGAGTACTTTGATAAAATACGCATTGAAGAAATAACGAACACGATGTCATTATTAGAAGATAAATGTGGCATACCAGGTTACTTTACGCGTCAAAGCATACAAAATCTGCGCATACCAATCGGTCTCTCTGCAGCTCTACTGGCGACAACCAACTCTACACCTGATTTGGGAGAAATTAATACATCAGAACAAACAGGAAACAAAAATGCAATAAATCCGTCAATTATGCGTATGTTACTTTTATTACTTATATTGGTTTTTTGAGCTCAGTCACCTGTGGCATAGGTGACTGATCTCAGTTGGAGTTTCGGAAACTCCAACTGATCATCCTATCATCGTGTATTGACGTTACAGAGGAAGACAACTGCGATAAACTCTAGATGTATAGCTCCTTTATCGATCGTTTTTAATTGCCGACTTTTTACATCCATATGATAGTTTCTCGAGACGCAAACATAAAAAAGTCAGCGGATCTCAGGATCCTCTCAAATCGGACGGAGCTTCTAACGCCATCTAATCACTTCTGACGGAAATCCGGTAGTTTTCTGACAGCATCTTGTCGAAAGTTTTAAGATTCTTTTTTACCGAATTCCGACAGGAAGTTGTTAAATCTCGAATCCGACGTCCTCTGTCAGTCGGAAACTTTCGAAGGGATAGGAGATTTCATAGAACTTGCGGCTTTCCCTAAAAAGTTATAATTCAACTTTCTTAGTCCAACTTCACATCCCGTTCTCCAGAAACGAGTCAATGAAATCAGGACTCGACTGGATTTTCCGTCTAATTCGACTCGACATGACCTATGTATCATGGAAATCTAATTCGGTTTGAATCGATTCGACCCACATACCGAAGTAGTCGCACTCGTTTTGACTCGATTTGAAGCGGGTCAAGTAGAGCCGTGTCGAGGTATCGAGAGTTCGTGTTAGAAACGAAAGTGTTACTGTTCTCTTTTATCAGCTTTGTAAATGTTGACAGAACTGTATACCTTCGTCGGAGATTATGATTTTACGTTTGTAATAATTGAAGTAGATGACGAAGTGTGGAAGAAAATGGCATCATATTGCCAATAGTCGAGACATTAGGCAACATTTGAGAGGAGATGTGCCCCGCGATGCTTGACGGAATGAATGTCTGTGTTGAAAGAGAAGAAAACAAAAACTGCTTGCTTTTGCCATTTGTCAACAACTATATCCATCAGTCAAAGTACGGTATCAGTCCGTGATATTAGAGTGTCTTAGAAACTGAATGCTCCGACTTTGACTCGACCCAACCGGCTTTACGTATTTTGTCTTGACTCGATCCGACCTGGATCAGTTTAAGTCGATTTGTTGACTATTTATCTCGATTTCGGTCTCCGATGCATTACAGTTGTGCACAAAATTCGTATGTTGTGCTACCGAGATATGTGACAAGCATATCTCGCTGATAGAAAACCTTCTATTAGCAATTAGATTTAGCATAAAATACACTTTGGTTCTGTTATACAAAAGGTGTAATAAAGTTTGAAAATTTCAATGAAAACCCGCTTTTACGATTTTTCCAACCTAAAACCGTAAAGAGAACGAACATCTTACTCGCTAAATTATCATTTTTGTCATCATGTGATTTTTCAGATCCGTGTCTGTTGAAGCATGCCGGACCATCGTTCATGGACGAAATCGGTGAGTTTTTCAACTGGCACGATGTTGTTTTAGTTTGGATATATGATGGAAAAGAGCATGAATGCGCCAGCCGTAATATAATACGAGCGCGTCTTTGCGCAGTGAACGATCTAACTTTAACCTTCGATTTATCAATTGAAGGAAGCTTGCATAATGCCATTTACGGCGTGTTAACATATCGAAGTGAACGAGTGGTGCTTCTTATTCATTGTTCCATTTTAACTCATGTACTTGAAAAGATTTCTCATGCATCACATATTGCAGCCGTCTATATCTATGGTACTTCCGACAAACTTTCAGGTTCCTCCAACTTGCTTGAACATGGGCCGGTATTTTATGATCCAGATTTGGAAAATTGCGTCCAGATGATCACTCGCTATATTCATGACTACTCAGAAACAATATTCTATTTCTACGAAAGTGCACAGTTCCATACAATGGATCTAGCTACTGAATCAGCATACTTCCTTTGGAATATACTGGCTATCAAATCATTGGAAACAGTGTTCGATTGGCCAGAAACAACAAAGCCTGATATAGATGAAGGAATGATTACATTCTTTGAGCGCATTGTCAAACGACGTGGAAAAGAGAATCCTCATATTCTTCAAGAAATTGCTCGCTTTCAGCAAGAGTACTCCTTCGAAAATACTGAGCAATGGTATGCTAAAAACAGTTTTATGCAAAAGTTTCTCCGTCAGGCACTGAAGCGAGCTGACTTTTCGACGCTCTGCGCTTGTAAGCAATTTCTTCTTAACCTCTCTGCACGTATCGTTTCAACCGTTCCTTCTACTAGTCTTAATCGCGTATATGTCATCGAACTTCTTATTCGCAATCGAATTAGTTTTTTATATAATCATACAGATACTTATATCTGCCCGAGCGGATTTTTGTTTGCCTATACAGACGAGCAAGATGCTGTTTGTCAGCTTTTGAATCGAAAATGCAACAGCGAAGACTTACAACACGTTTTATTTGTAATCGACGTCGATCCTTCTTGTCCCCTTTTTCCACTCAACGGCAAACACGTACTTTTCAATATGGGACTTGTACTGAAAATCAACAAATTGTACTTACGTCTCAAATGTGGACAGTACATACAGTCACGGCTCTCGAACATGGTATCTTACTTATTGAGCATTATATCGATATGACCGTAAAGGTCGGTCTACAAACGATGAGCCCAAGTCTCTATCCCATCGTTCTGCTAGCTACTATGAAAAAAACTAATGAAGCATATGTTTATCTCCACTGCTTACGTCAGACATTACGATCTGATGATAAGAATGCTTCTATCCTTGCTGGTCTTTTCTATCTACAAGCTCAGCTGGATGAAAAAGGTCAGCGAGATGATACTGCTGATTTATACGTACGAGCTTACGAACTTGAACTGAAAGCGCACGGGACGCTTTCTCCTTTTCGACTGCGTATATTGCTCGAACTGGCGTATGACCATAGTCGACGAAGGTCATTTGAGTATGCCGATTGCATATACAACGAAATCGGCGAGTTCTTCACACAATTTCGATCGCTAAAGTTGTACGATTCTATAGAGCCACTATATTACGCGCGACGTGGGGAGTTCATATTGAAAAGCAAGGGTTTGTATCGCGGTTTTCTCATAGCGGAGAGAGAGTGTTATAATAAACTATTCGACTATATTCAAACACATGTTGTCTATCATGATCCGTTACCAATTGGACTTTCGTTGATACAAGCTGCTATTATGCTGCACAACGGTGATGCAGTTCGTTTTGTTGAGGAAGGCCGCAGATTCTTACGCCAAGCTTACTGCCTTTTGTCCGCGAACTTGCCATCGTCACATACTGTTCTCTCGTACTGTTCAGATTTGATGTATGTGCATGTTGAAAGACCTGACCACTGTCATCATGCTCTGGCCTTATTAGATCATACTATATTACCACGCCAGATGACGGCTGTTTCAACAGTCAGTACTCTCGATGACTTTGACATCGCTTTGACGTACTCACGGCTCGCTGCTGAATTCAAACTAATTGATGACCACCGTGCTGCAGGAGAATGTACGCGGACAGCATTGCAGACATACGAGCGCCACATGTATGTAAACACGCAAGCGATGGATGGGTATCTTGTAGCGAAGGGTTACTTGGACAGTACTCCAGAAGCAAAAGAACAAACTGCGCTGTTCGAAGAGTTAATGAAGGATCTGCTCGCCTCGTCGATAGCAGAAGTGCTTGACACAAATGATGATTCCGATGACTCGTCTCACGACGGAAGCGCCGCTCCGCAGCGTCGAAGCTCAAGCGCCTCGATCGATAAAAATACACCCAAAGTGGTTTCGTCAAAACAACGTCGCACAGTATCCGCACCGGCAACACCGAAATCTTCTCGACAACAGGAACTAATTTTACCGCATTTGTTCTATCCTGTTTTACCAGACAATATACTTTTGGTCAGGGACCGATTTTTGATCACTTTCCCAGTTCCGCGATCGATTAAAGAGCATGATAATATGATATCGAAATTTAGTAAGTTAATGTTTTTTATTCTCCTCGTTTCTATTAATTCTTGGCGCTTTATAGCTCGAATGAAACTGTCCGTAATTGACATAAACTTTTCTACGCCATGCAGTAGACTTCCGCCCGAAATTTCCACCGTTGTTTCTGCGCACCACGTCATTAATCGTCCTCGAAGGTGGCACCATTTGTGACAGCCATTTCAAAATGTCCATGGAAAACTGAAACAGTATCAAGCCAGAAGCCACTTATCTTCACCTTCTTGCCTTTCTGTTTCACACATCATTTTCAACAAAGTTCTGTCTCGGGATTTGTTTACTAAAAAAAATTTATCATATCTAGAACCAAGACACCACGGTGAGTTGACTGTGAAAGTTTTTGAATATTAAGAGAAACTCCGCTAGCACACAATTCTATCTATGTTCCATACATTAAAAGGTCTTGCATAGTTTTATGCGTCATAACCACGCTGTTGACTCCACTAGAAAGCGTGGGAACTTTTTCTTTATCTTTCTAGGACTCCGAATAAGAGTTCAAAACCGAGAAAACAAAAGTGAACAACTTTTCTTCTGTCTGTGAAACTTATAGACTAACCGTAACCAGCCTTTCTAGGCTGGATTATTCTTCTAAAAAAGCAGAACAGAAAGCACATGACGTTAAAAGAATATAGACGCTTCAGAAGAAATGTGAGGCTATTATCAAACATTTTTTCCAATATAGCGAATCTGAAAAAGTGCAAAAAGTCTCTGTTGAGTTGTGTATATTCTTGTGCAGGCGAAATTTTCGATTTCAAATCGTCTACTTGTTCTTTTTTCAAGGCCGATCGATCCACTCTACGACGTCAATAGCTATTTTGTTAAACTCTTCATACGTGTATCAGAAAATCAGAAGATATGTATTTTGTGTTGAGTGAGACGTCTTATACCTTCTTCCTCTCATCACTGACAGTCTCTGACTCTGGACCTACTTTTCTATTCTGCAGGGAATATTTTTTGATATGGTTTGAGAGAATAGTTTTGCTCCTCAGATGAAATCGTAAACGTTGTGGAGAAGTCGGATTAGTTCGCTTGAAATTCGAAAAAATCTAGAGAACTGGAATAAATCTGAATAATAATCCGGAAGGTGGGAAAAATTTCACTCGGTTAAGAGTTCGGCATTTTGACCGCTTGCGGCCTATCTGAAACATTTTTCCGTAAATCAAACTCGCTTTATTTTTAAAATTATACGAAATATAAACTTGAAACATCCTATGATCCGCTTCTAAGCTGAACTTTTATTTGATAAAAGAGCGAATATACCTATTGCAGTCGATGATCTTCTTAAAATATGGTGGAAAATACGTACTGATAAGCAGCTCATCCAAAAGCAAATTGTGGTCTTCATCGACGATGACTTAGAATCAGCAGAAAGAACCCAAGAATTGTCCACAATACGCGGCTCTCCCGGCATCGAATTGAAAACATATGACGATGTAGATATGGCCATTTATGAGATGTTGTCAGCACAGTATACTCATATACAAGTGGTTATCAAGAACACTTTGGCTCGTTATTTCTTTGATATGCAGCAAATCGGGCGATTGCAGCTGGAAGCATGTGTCACTTTATGTGTTTGTGTCTATGGTTGTAGTGACGACGAGCGAGATAAACACTATTATGAGTATCTAAAATACTTGCAGTGTACAAAGGAATGCCATGAAAAATTTGAGCAACTGGGATATCATTGTCTTGTTATGACAAACGATATAATAACTGTACATCAGTTCTGTCGAATGCGTGACGCGCTTGGACAACAAATTATTCTTATAATGGAACTAGTGAAAATGAAGTATTGTCCCCCGGCATGTATGCTCAATGAACCTGATGAACTGCATTTTGCATTCCGGTTAGAAAAAAACTTTGAGTTTATCGGCTACACAGGAGATAATCAGTCACCTCCACTCCTCTATCGTTATCTGCGTCTACCAGCGGTTGGCGATCTAGACAAGAGAGATGTGCAGCTATTGGCTTTAATTGCCTTTTGCCAACGTCATGAAGTCGATCCAAAAGTGACCGCATCAATGTGCCGCTATTTCTCGACTGGGTGTTGTATTGCAGCACGAACATACGCTAATTTTCTTATTCATCTGTGGTCATTGGAAACACCTGCGTTCTATCGATTGGTGAATCAAGCTCTTGCCAAATGCCAAGTTGAAGATATTCTACTTTTACGTTGGATCGTATTTGATTACTACATGACTTTTCTTCTCAAAATATATCCATACTATGAAGGCACATTATACCGTGGAATTCAAGTGACAGATGATTATATCGAACAATTACGCGGAATGGTGGGGAAGAACATATACTTCACTACTCTGACAGCCACATCTAAATATCGAGAACGTGCGCAAATTAGCGGGAATGTTTTATTCGAAATTGAAACTTTATCCAGCAACCATCAGCATTTGGTTGGTAATGCCAATGCCGATATATCCTCGTTGTCTTTGTTTCCCGAAGAGCAGAAAGTTCTTTATCCACCATTAGCTACCTTCGAAGTGCTTGATGTAAAAAGTGAAGCAGACAATAAAATCTTGATCAAACTACGCGAGTTATGGATGACTACCTACATTCAAGCTTACTTCAATGACTTATGCAGGCGATTTCCGCTTTTGAGTCCTTTCAAATACCGTGATTTGTGGTCTCAGCGTATTCAAGCGCTTCGTAGTCGCCTGTCTGAGATTCCTTCAGAATGGGACACATATTAAGGTTATTCATGTTTTACAGTGTTTCGTTCTCAATTTTCTGAATAAACTTGAAAATAGAAATTATAGAGCTGTTAAATTATAGTGTAATTATAGCCAACTGTTGAAGTTATCAACTTACTATGTTGCGTATATATGGGTTACACTTGGTATTGATTATCGGTACTCATTCAGTCTTCCTTACTCGTCAGATTCTTGAGAAATGATGTTTCTGGCTTTCAAGAACTGCTAATTAGAATAATAAAAAATCGTAAGGTGCCGGTAATTCAAAAGGTTCGTGCCAAAAATGAAACTTATCGAGTTATACATGGTTAGATAGAGCTCGTCGAGCTGATCACGAATATCACCTTTAAAACCTTTAAAAGTTTTTT